GCTGTGCTCTGTCCTGGGGCAGTGAGCTCAGTAGCATTTGCTGTGCCGGTTAGGCGCAGAGGCAGGGCAGCCTGGCTCCGTGGAGGCCGGCCGGAGGGGAAGCAGCATGTGAATGAGGCAAGAGTGGGCTGAGGCTCAGGGTGTGAGGGGCATGTGGTGCAGTCCTGTGGGAGCAGGAGCAAGGCTGGAGGAGCCCCGAGGGTGGTGGGGTGGACAGTGCAGGACGTGCGGGACACTGTCTCTACCGAGCAAGCGCCTTGGAGGCTGTGGGAAGCCTGGCATGGGGTGAAGGGACATTTGCATCTGAAAGCTCCTTCCTGCCGCCCTGTGGAAACTGGAGGGCAGTGTGATGACTGCGCCTGCTTGTGCCTGCAGCCATGCCCAGGTGGGAGACAGGATGGGAGGGACAGCAGGCAGAGCGAGGGCACCCGAGCACAGGAGGGCAGGCCTGGACTAGGACCAACAGGTGAAGGAGAAAGGAGTCCGAGCTCTTTGGCCCACCTCCTGGGTGGGGTGCACTGGGGGCCTGGGAAAGCTTGGCCAGTGGGGGCTTTGTAAGGATGGGCACGGAACCTGGAGGGGCAAAGGCGGTTGTCCAGGGAAACACTGAGCAAGGAGAACCGGAAACAGTTCTGAGAAAGCCTGTCTCATAAGGACCCTTCTAGCTGCTGGGAAAGCTGCAGAGACAGCCTCGGGCCTGTGGGAGTGGCTGTGGCCAACGAGTGACAGGCAGGGGTGAGGCCCACCAAGCCCAGCCCTCCCAGAGCTTCCTCAGAGCCATCTGCTCTGACCGCTCAGCTCACCGTGGAGGAGCAGAGGCCAGAGGCAAGGGAGCCAACCAGAGGCCTGTGGGCAAAGGCTCACAGAGGGGAATGTCTGGGAGGGATCTAGAAGACAGCAGGAGACTAACACTGCTTTCAGAAATGCGAAGGGCCTGGGACCATCAGCGGAGGGGGTGCTACTGTGGCATGAAGGTCTGGGGCAGCGGAGGAAAGGACTCTTGAGGATTCTAGCTTTGAGGGGGCCCTGGAGAGAGGGAGAGGAGTCACCAGACTCTAGGAAGGTGGGAGGGGGCTGGGTTGGGGAACCCTCCTTCTCTGGGTCGAGGGCAATTGGAAAGAGTAGAGGGACAAGGGGTGAACATGGAGGGTCTGTGGAGGGCAGGGTCCACTGGATGCCAGTGTAGTACCACTCTGCTCTCAGGGTACCCCCGTGCTGCCTGGAGACCCGGAGGTCCTGGCTGCACTGGGGGCAGGATGATCAGGCAATGCACCCAAAAGGCATGCTCAGAATTGAGAGGCGAGGCCCGTGTGGCTCCTTGAGGCTCTAAACGGGGACCCTGAACATCCCTCTACAACTTCCTTGGATACTACCCGGGACAGTGCTGAGGCCCGGCAAGGGACATGTCCCCGGCAGGGCTCCAGGGGGCCTCTGACCACGGCGCTCTTCCTGAGCACGAGGCTTGCCTGCAGGCCGGTGACATGTGTGCTCAGTGGTGCTGACGGAAGTGGTTTCAGAAAAAGGGGTCCTCGGCCTTCGAGGGAATGGGGAGATGACGCAGCCCAGAAGCCTGCGAGGGTGGGAGCCATCTGTTTACAGGGCAGCCCCACAGTGCCATTATTTACACAGGAAGACTGCCGAATGCCACCCCCAGTCATGCGCCCGGAGGAGCAGGACAAGGTGTGCCTGCCTTGGCTCCCACTCTGGGCATGAAAGCACCTGCATTGGGCGGTGTCCAGGAGGGAAAGAGTTAAGGAACAAAGCAAGTCTCCAAACCCCCACAGAGCCGGGGGCAGACAGACTTAAGGAAAGAAGGAAGTGTGGTGGGGAATTTCTGCAGCTCGGAGCAGAGATTGTACTCCCAGAGCCTCTGTGCAGCCACACTGAGAAAGGGCAGACCCGCCCGGATGACAGGGCTCGAGGCCAGACGGTGCCCTGGTGTTCATGCGGGAAGACGAGACGCACATGGAGCAATAACAGTGTCTGGAACTGGCTTTGGTGATGCGCCAGTTACGCTGGACAGTCACCTGGGGAAACTGGGCGCAGATGCAAGGACCTCTCTGCACATTACTTGTGACCGCCTGTGAATCTGTATTTCAAAATAAGAAGTTTTAAGAAATTGCTGCTTGGCTTATGGAGACATTCCCCTCCTCAAACCTCAGGGGAGCACCCCCACCCATGGGCTCCCCCACCCCACCTCGTGGGCTCACTCCTATGCAAGTCACTTGCAGCATCTGCAGCACATTATAATGAAGCAATAATTCCTTAAAGGAAGAATCTGTATTAACGAAGTTTATGACTGAGAACAAGTGTCACAAGTGTGGGAAATTGCCTATCAGGATGCTAATTAGATGCCCCTCATCAGGCTGGACTCTTCCTCGATGCCCCTCATCAGGCTGGACTCTTCCTCAGGTGTGGCTCCACCTGTCTGGGAACACCTGCTCTCTTCTCTGACCTGGCAGGCCCTGCATCACAGGAGCCAGGGCTCGCTCGCCAGGGCTGTGCAGGCGACTCTTGAGTCAACTCTTCTGTGCAGGCGACTCTTGAGTCAACTCTTCCCTCAGTGAAGGACTGACACCTCCATGGAGGCCCACACCGGGGTGTGTGTGTGTGTGTGTGTGTGTGAAAGGAGACCAGGTAGGGTCACCACTTGACCCAGCAACTGCACTAGGATTGCACATTCTA